AGTGTTTTCAGCCAAATTTTACCTCAGCGATTTTCCTGTGAAGAATGGACTTTAGAAAAAAACGTCCAATGGCAAAGTGTTAGAGCATATGCTGAAATATATAACCTGCTATTCGAATCTCGAAAAATATTACTGTCGTTTTTTCACCTAATGTCCACGTTGTTCCACACTGTGTATGGCCTTTACAAACTGACTTTTTCTACCATTAAGTGCTTTTATATCCCACCAAGGGTTGGTTCATGTTTTAAAAAAAGTTATCTGAGACTCTCCCTTATATTTTGAAATGGCCTGTCTGTTAGAGATTCTGTAACTCTATATATATATACAAATTCTGATCCGGTATAGTCCCAGCTCAAAAATATGTTTCGTTAAAAAAAATGATAAACATGTCCGCAAAATGCAGAGCTGGACAAGTTTTGCAAGTCACAAGTCAAGTCATGAGGTGAGACAATTTTTTCTCCGAACTCAAGCGAAGTCTGGTTAAAAATGACCCAGAACATCAAATTTGTTAGCGTCTTTTGGATGAAAGACAGTTTTATGGTTTCAGAAACTGTTTCATGGTAAAAAATGCCTAATTTAAACGAAATCTCTTACTAGAAATGACTTGACGTGAAAACGTTTTCAAACTCAGTCACGGTTACGAAAAAAAATCTTTCAATCGATGTCAAGTCACACTCGAAGAATTTTTTGACCAAGCCAAGTCAAGTCATACTTGATTTGCCCCGCTCTGGCAAAAGTTCCATATTCTTGTAGCACTTTCTATGAGCTATTCATTACATTAGGAATGGTTTGCGGCTAAAGCTTGAACGGGAGAGAAAAAATGCGAAATACCGTAATAGATAGTCCTAAAAAGTTAGATCCAAAGTGTTTTTTTTGATAAAAAAAATAATGGTTACTGTTATTTTCAAACATTCCTTTACACATATTCTTGATCAGCTTGTCGAGCTCTATCGAATGATATATTTGAAAAAAATTCCATTCACATTTTCTATCAAAAATAAATTATGAATGGCAATCAAACGTCAAAAATGTTGGTAATTTATTCGAATTTATTTTTGCAACAAAATGCATTTTGAAGCTCTAAAAAATACATAAAAATACATAAAATTGAATTCTCTCTACATTGAAATTAAAACATTTTGAAGAGGGGCTAATTTCTACAGGATTTTGGACCTCATGCTTTGTTTATAGACTCTGGTGTTACGTTCACATGAACATAAACTCCCATTTTTTTCTTAAAGTGCACGTATACCTGACTGTTGTACGTGAAATTCACACTATAAAATTTGGAATATTTATTTATTAAAGGGAAAAATATAGTGTCAATCGTAAATATGACCAATAAAGGTCATTTAAAATTAGGGATAAACTGAGAACCGTGTTCTCGTAAAACTAGACTAAAAAACTTTGAAGAGGACATATGCTAACCTCTCTACTCAAACTCCTAGCATATATTTTGTTAAAACAGAAGAGATATGTCATTAATCTGATTCATAAAATGAAATATTATTTTCTCTAAAATAATCATAAATTTTCTTTCTCATCTCTTTGACATCATGAATAAAGCCAACTAACGTAACCGAATTTTGCTTTACTTGTAAAAGAACTTTTCGTCGACGAAATTCTTTTGTATATAATTCTTTAATATATTTCATCCAATGTTCATTTGATAAAAATCTTTTATCATCTTTGTCTAACATAATTTGTCTTACACAAATATCATCACGTAATCGATTATAAACTTGATCACATTGATCTTTTGTCAAAGAATATAATATTAATTTTGATGGTGATGAGATACCTATGCCTGTTTGAGATGATCCACCCCGTTCAATTTCATATGAACAAACATGATCAGATTTAGACAAATTATCAATAATTAAATCAACTAGAAGAAAGAAAACATATAGACACATTTATTTGAAATGGTGTCCTCTCAGTTCGTCCCAGATTGATAAGATCAAACAATATCAAAGGGGTGGGCAGGTGTGAGAGTGAGCAATTTGGGACGAACTGAGAGTAAACCATTTGAAATAGATAAGCAACAATAATTTTACCAAGAAAAAGATAGAAAAAGAGTACCTGTATCTGGATTTGATAAAAATATAGCCATTTCTCGACTAATTTTGTATTCTCGTTGTAATAAATTTTTTAATATTGTTTCAAAGTAACCTTTACATGTTTGAACTTCATCGAAAGGACCATGTAAAATTATCTTTCGTTGTATTCGATCTTGATCAATTTTTAAATTTGCATACGATCGATGAGCCAAATCAAAAAATTTCATTGATAATAAATCCATTTGATAGTGTCGTAAATGATCAACTGAATCGGTTGTTTCTATAGAATTTTGCAAATTTTGAATGGACGATGACAGCGAATTATTCTTGTTGTTAACGCTTAATGGCATCGAATAGAGTAATGATGATGTGGGACGATGATGTCGATTGCTAGACGCTTTTGACGGTTGTTGGTGTTGTTCTTGAATATTTTCACTACTATCATTAGCAAAATTCGGTTACGTTAGTTGGCTTTATTCATGATGTCAAAGAGATGAGAAAGAAAATTTATGATTATTTTAGAGAAA